ATCAGGGACTCAGCAAATGAAGAAGATGTATTTTGTTTAGCCAGAAAAGATTAGGACCATAAAAGTCTTTTGGGTGTATGTGTAGAAATGAGGGGAGTGCCATGCAAAATGCCAGATGAAATAAGGAACAGTAGAGAGCCATTATTGTCTGATGCATCTCTAAGACACCTTAGGGGTTTTGGAGTTATACTTCATGACGGTGTTCAGCTGGCTGGTGCATTGGCAGGAGCATGCTCAAAGGACCCTGGTTTCTCCCCCTACCCCTCTCTCCCCAAAAAAAAGAAGGAAGGAAAAAGAGGGAAAGGAGAACTTTTGCAGCTCTTTATTTCTGAAAAAGACCCTTTTCTTTAAGCCTACAAAACCTTCTCTCTTTGAAAATAGTCACTCATGTCAGTAACATAAAGGCCAACCTGACCTACCGATGAAAAGCTCCACCTCCGGTCCTGGCAATATTTGGGGGCTGATCCTTTACTTTTTTGGACACTGGAAGGAAACCCCCATGGTTTTAACAGCTCTACCTCAGGTTTGGGACTCCACATCACCTGGTGGAAGGGGGAATCTCCCAGTCCCAGTGAAGACCTTATTTGTTCTCCATGGGTCTAACCAGGTGATCTGGACAACACAGGTGACCCAGATTTCTTCCTTGCTACATCTCAAAAGGGAGCTGCACAGAGAGTTTACTTTCAGAAGGTAGATCCAAGATACTTCTAATATTTAGATCTGTGTTACGAAATCAATAAGAAGCAGCAGTTCTTGTTCAGAGTCCCACTGTGTAAGGAAGTACACAAAGAGAGGAAAAAAAAGACCGTATTTTTCCTTGAGAGCCTCTGGAGCAGCTGTAATTACTCCACAGGAGTTCATCCTTTGGAGAAAGCATCAATTTAGTGGTGAAAATTCATCATGACATTTCCTAGCAATAGATGCACCTTGTGTGTAGTATCTCCTGGCAGATCAGCACAGAACCTATGCTTAGTTTTTCACTGCTTTGCATTAATACTAAAAGAAAAAACCTACAAGGAAAAGGGAGGGGGAGGAAAATAATGTGGACAGCTTTTCCATGGGCTTCTTTCCCAAATGAACCAGGAATTAAATTAAAAAACTTCAGCTTCCCATCTCCTCCTATTGACATGCTCATCCAGACTTATGATCCTCACTGCAACCCCTTGGGGACACCTCGCTAGGCTGATTTAAGTTTTATCCACCAAAGCCAATGACTGTTTTCTTGATGTCTCTTACGTCAATGATGTCCTTGGGGTATTAAGCTACTGTCAGCTGAACTCTTACCTCTATTAACTAGTGGAAGAAGAATACTGGAAGAGGATATGATGGCTCAGGTAGATAAACCAATGCCATGAAAGTCTTCTTTGGACTGAAGAAGAGATGTTACCAATGCCAGGCTTGATTTAACACCACAAGACAAAAATGCATCAAGCACACACTCCTTTTAAACAGGTCTCCACATAATGCAGAAGAAGAACAGGGTCCCCTCTAGTGGAAAGCTATGGAATACTTCGAGCAGGAGATCGTGCAAGTCCTTCCTCGTCCTGGCTCTGTAGTATCTCGGTTTGTTTTCTCCACACTACCCTTGCCATGCACACACCTTCAGGCTAATCTAATGAAAGCAGAGCTACTGTCATTACTACCTGGATGTCTGAGTCTTGGGTCTTAAATCTTGCTTTTGGCCTCTGGGATTTTTTGTCTCACTTAGGTTTTCAGAGAAATCAGCGTATCTCCAATCTTGTCATTAATGATTCATTTTGCAAAGCGTCAGCAGCTGTCGATGTCATTTTTCCAATGCAATTTCTCCATCTGGTGGTGTAAAAAGCGGCTCCCAAGCTGCTGTTGGTCAGTGCGCTCCACTCCAGCAGTGCTATTTTACACCCACCCAGATCTGGCTTTCAGATTCCACCTGACTACTGTAATGCGAGCCAGGGGAAAACACACGCCAGTTTTGGACTGTGCCTGTAAATTTGCTTCCCTCCATGCCCACTTCAGACATTATGGTAAGTTTTGTTAGGCAGGATGTTGTCCCTGAAAGTCAGCAACCCCCAGTAATGTATTCCCGTCACTCCACCCATACGCTGTCACTCTGACAACTTAGAAACAAGCTGATACATCTGATACATCCCCTCAGGTGACACAGGGCTGGTCCTTCTCAGAAGAGAAACTTTTTTTTTTTTAATTAACACAGCATCTTTTTTTCAATAAGACATAACCACAAACCAGTGTGATCCAATACGTAAGAGCTTTAATGCATTTTCTGTCTGACCTTGGCAGAAATTAAGATGAGTTGCAAAGGCTCCAGCAGTACCAGATGCAGTATGGGGTTTTTTTCTTTCTTTCTTTTTTTTTTTTGGTGTGAGAGAGATGGTGGTCGTATTGGGGAGGAGGGGTTAAGGAAAGTGCTATTTTACTCTGTGATAGTGAGCTTAATGACAAAGTGAGGGGACAGATTTTCTTCATTGAAGTTTTTGGATGAGGAATAGATCTGTTCCTCTTCCCTCTCACGAAATAGGTACAGACTGAGTCAGCATCCTCATTCTATACATCATAAGGAGCTTTAACAGCAGGATTAGCCACACCACACCATATTTCCAGCCACAGGACAGGGAAGCGGCCCTTCCTGCCCAAATCACAGCTGGCTCCCCTCCTACGGCTGCTTAACCTGTGAACTGGAGTTTATAAGATGTAAGCATCCACTCACCCCCCCCCAAAATACACAGTGAGCTCACGCAACATTGTGCAGTTCCCAGGGAGTGACGTGTGTGCACACAGGCAAACAGCATGGCCTGAATGCAGTTTTAAAAATCTTTTTTCCTTTCTTTTCTTCGTAACTCCTTATGAAAGCAATCAATTAAACAGGGAGAGAACAGAAGAAAGCAGGTGACTGAAATATAATGATTGACACCCATCACGTTTCTGTGTGTTGGAATCAACGTGCTTTCATTAACTCTGGCACTAGGAGCCTCCGCAGCTCCCTGAGTGAAGGTGTGTTAGTAGGAACCGATCCTCACGAGGTGTTACACATGCACATACACACACAGACTGGGTTACAGACCTGGGGTCCTGCAGGATTGCCTCCTTCCCAGCTGGCTGTATGACTCTTGTATTCCCTTTTGTGCCAGCTGAAAAAGTGGATAAAAATCCTTTTTCTGGTCTTACATACAGCCCAGTAGTTGTCCTGAGCCATAAACCTGGACATCTGAGACCTCTCAGGCTGAGGACGGAATTGAAAACAGGTCCTCTGCTCCTGCCTGGAAGCTGCTATCCCCACGCATCTTCAGCCTTTGAAAAATTTGGGGTGGGACTGAGATTCAGACTTATAGATGTCTATAACATACATACTCACACCATTTGGTATCACTGCAGTGGAAGGAGATTTAGGGCTCCAACCATTTGTCTGCACATAGGCAAAGAATTTTGACCCTGACTTCCTCCGTACTCCGCCAGCATGGCAGATCATACCTGCAGGCAGTGAACTGCCACCATTCACCCTGAGCAAACATTTCTGTGGTTGTGAACATCTTTCCCATCCTTGCTCCTCAAGCCTTACGCCACCCCTTCAGTAGCTCTGGTGCTTTTGGGGCCTTTTACGAGCTGACTGACCTCATTAACACAGCAGAACATGCTCTTCATTTTGCTGGGTTCATTTTCTACCGGGAAGGGTTGGATAGGAGAGAAGGGAAAGGAAAAGTGGGACAAATGAGAAATGTCCTTGTAGTGACAGATCAGCTGTCTGTCTTCATTGAAACTGCAGGGTAAATAGAAAGCAGTTGGATTAATATAAATCTAAGTCATGGGGCTTGTGCTGAACAAACTACTGGAGATAACTCCCTCCTTTCCCCATGGAGTAGACAAAGCCATGCCAGCTACTCGGAGATGGTGCATCCAGCAGAGACAATAAGTAGAGCTTTAGTCATCGCAATAGCTTGCAAACTATCCCCCATTAGCTTTTTAGCTAAATACCCCATGGCTGTTAATCTTAAGGCATAAATTGCTGAGATATTTACAAAATACACTAGGAGAAAAGCTGCTCCTGATGAAACTACTCTTCAAAATTTTCCAGGAGGTGAGAGAAACAGCAGCCACGTAAAAGTGTAGCAAAATCCCTGGTTTCAAAACTGCTCAGGGAGAGAGCAAAGACGTGAATGCATTCAGCCCGGCTCCCCTGAGTCCCTGAGTTTCTGCTGCAACACGCTGAGCATCTTCACATCCCCTTCGTCCCAGTGGGCTCTTGTCATCTGCTGCCTTTCCTGAAGGGGCGAGGAACGGAGGACAGCTACTGCCTACAGCAGCACAGATGCAGGCTGCTTTTTGTATTCTGTGCACATCCTCCTACAGCCGGATTTATACGTCTTGCATCAGAAAAGACAAAAAGGTGGATAAATCTTCCGGGAGATAGGCAGTTCTTTGTATTTCCTTCAGCAGTCCAGAGAAAGAGGCATCTGAGAAGGAAGGAAAGCTTTCTTCCATGTGTCCAAAGCACCTCTTGGAAAACACATGAGCTATGACTTAGAAAACTCCATTCTTTGGGTTTTAGCATCCAAAATTTAGTTAATCCCTAAAACTACCCACATGCAAATCCTATTTATGAGGAGATGAGTGCTAGTAAATATTTATCAAACTCCTTAAGATCCTCAAGAAAAACAAATTTTACATGAACCATGTCCTCCCATTAGTTTAGACTTTGTGCATTCCCATGCTTATCCAAACTCCTGATTCTCACTCCAGGTTGCAGTTTGCTTCCAGTTGTTGTTATCCTGTACCTCTGCACAGCACATTGTATTTGCAAGATCCTGTCTAGCCAAATGGTCAGGTTTTCCTTTGGTGGACAAAAAACCAGTGACTTGGTCTTCAAAAGGTAATAAATTCTTACATCCAGTGGCACTCAACAGCCTGAGTATATGGACCCAGCATGTCCTATCTGCTCCCGGTGCTCTACCCACAGCAACCTGACAGTGTACTCCCTGAAAGACTGCCAGCACTGTCTTTTAGCAAGGTCACTTCTTCTTCGCTGCAGCTTTGGCATTCCCACCAGCCTTGCCATTAGTTTTGGTGCTTCCTCCTGGTTTTACGGCTTCACCTTCTTTTTCACCTTTCTTCCCACCACCTTGTTTCTTGTCAGTAGTGTCCTTTCCTCCCTTTTCTCCTTTTTCTCCCTTTTCTCCCTTTTCTGCTTCTTTCTTTTTGGCCCCATCCTTCCCTTCTTTCTTGGATCTTTCTTTCTGGTCCTTCTCACCATCCTTCTTCTTGGAGCCCTTGGATCCATCTTTCTTACCCTGAGCCTTGTCCACTTTTCCAGATACAGTGGGAACTTCTTTCTTTTCTTCTGCAACCTGAGCTGTATGCAAGAATGGAAAAAGAAAACAGGAAAGCAGTTAACTTGGGTTGACAGTAGCCAGGAAGAGGGCAAAACTCCTGCTCCCTGCTGGCAAATCTTGGACAAAGGGAAAATACTTCTACTGGGGCTTTGTCCATACAGATCTTTTCCTCACTACCAGCTTTTCATGTCTTTGTTTTGAGAAGATAGACAAATGCGATAAAGCAGAACTGGTAATTTCAAGAGCTCAGTTGCGGATCTATTAGAGGAAATGGATCCTGTTGGTAGGAACTGATCCATGAACATTATAAGCACAGGCCATAAGAATTTCCTAATAATGACATTCAATATGGAGTTGTCTCCTTCCACAAGAAGGAACAGAAACATCTATCATGCAATTCAGTACAGATCTGGCTTGGGTTTGTTGTTTTGGGGTTTGGATTTTGGGGTTTTTTTGGTTGGTTGGCTTCTAATTCTTTGTTTTTCTGTCTGGGGTATGTCTCCTGCAGCTGAGAGTGGATTCTGCTGGGGATCTTTGCTCTCCAAGACAGACAAGTAGAAGATAGTTTGCCCAGCACAGGACTGCAAAGTAGGCTTAGCTTCTGTCCCGTCTACATCCAGTCACCATGGGACTGGCTTCCTACCTGTAGGACTGTAATTAATGGCAGCAACGTACCATGGGCAATTAACTCCAGTGCATAGTAAACTCTGGTTTGGTATGTTTTAACACACAAGATATATTAGTTACAGGAAGCTTATAATATATTTACTTATGAAATATTTTTACTTAGGCATATCTTGGATTCAGTGCCCTCATTTCAGGTGAGAAGACTCATAAACATCACACTGGCTCTGCAGACTTTAATTATTCTGACAAAGGATTTGGTAGCAGAAAACTTTTCCTCATCTTTCTTACTTTTCTTCTGCTAGAAGTGGTTCATTTTCTCAAAAGTATTTCTGACCTCAGAGCTTGATGCGCTGAACTCTCATCTCAAGCTGCAACTTGACACTTAAGCACAGATCATATTTCATATATTTCTTATGGAATTTATTTACTTTGTTCAAGACCAGCAGAGTATAGAGTTTTGCAAAAACAATTGAAAATGTGTTGTTTCCCATGACCTCCTCCTCTGAAAATCTGAAATATAGGACTCAGAAATGTAAATAGATAACCATGCTAACACAACTTAATGATTAAAATCAGCCAAGATGTAGCAATGACCTGAGAGTGACCTCAGCAAACAGAGGATGATTGGTCACTGTTTAGCTTTCTTCAGCTGGTACCTAGGCTAAGTTAAATTATTTCATGTTTGCCACAGGCTAAGGAAAGATGACAGTGAACTGGCTTAGGAGGTGATTTGGTATGGGCCCTTGGTGAGATGTCTCAACCCTTACCTGGAGCCATTGGACTCCAATCTGTTAAAGTAGCCCCAAATCTCCCATTGCTATGGATGTCTGTACTGTCACTTTCCAACTGCAGCAAAGTATTGCAGGTGCAAATCAAACCTGAATTTGTTATGTTTGCCTAGAATATTGCTTCAGGGTGCACGCTAAAATAAAATATCATCCTTTGACCTTGGGAACTGGCAATTCATTTGTACATACAGGTGGGAGTAGAACAATGCAGACTTTTTCTCACAACCACAGGAGAAACCCTGACATCTGATATAAAAAAAAGGAGAGGCAATAAAAAAAACAAACAAAACCAACAAAAAAACCCCACTACATTGTCTGCTTCCTGGACAAATATGGTAGGAACCAGGTGAACTCCCAGAAATGTCAGCTGGAGAAGCCTCAGACCAGAATACTTGAAGATCTCCCAGGCCATGGACCCAGACAGTACATCTCCACCTAGAGCAAAGGCCAAGTTCTGCTTGTACTTCTCCCACAGACTGGGAGACAGAGCACAAATGAATCAATTTGTATAGAACATTTTATACACTGAACCCTTAAGTCCATTTTATTTATGTCTAGTACAAGGACTTGCTATATATGACACTCAAAAAAGTGCATGGAGAGCCATTTGGCAGTTAGAATGTTCCATGGTAGTAAATGTGAAGTAGGGTAAAATAATGCCAAGAAATGAGAGCATTTAAGCATTGTAATATATTAAAGATTAATAGCATTTGACATTTACAGAAGTCTTTAAAGCATTTAATGGCCACTCAGTAATTAAAATCACTCAAGTCATCTCTCTGGCCTTGACTGTGTCTACCAGGGTTTGTCACAGTATAAGTATATAAATAGTTGACAAATACATACATTATATTTCATGGCTGCATAAATCAAAGTGGGTTGCCAAATGTCAGCGGGGTGACATGGCAGAGCATCACACTCTGTACAGATGAAACTAACAGCACAGAGATGAAGCCCAAAGGTTTGCACACTTTCCGTTGTAATGCCTAAATCACATAGTGAAACGTTTCTGGGGACAGGATGCACGCTAATCTCAGAAGGAGGGCAAACCAGTGGGTTTGAGCACACAGAGCTTTTGCATCTAACATTTTAGGCGCTGACAGCTGAGCCAGTCTTTTTGGGTCCCCAAGACTGGAGACATACAGACATTTTTAAGGCATCATTTACCTCTTCCACTTTAGCACCTCCCCTGCCGTGAAAGGAATCACGTTCTTTTTATTTTCCACTGTGGATAAAGTTGAGACAACCAGTGCTGATGCAGACTTCTCCATAGGTGTAGATAATGTACTTTTGGTTAGATGACTCCCACCTGAGTACAGGTTCCTTCAGGGCAACTTGGGCAGATTTATATCTGACTCCAGAGGACTAGGAGCTTCAGAGCACACGAGTTCATGAGCCATTACCAGACATCAGCAGCCACTCACCAATTTGTTATTCACCAGCCTCCTACCCTGCACTGTGCCAGGACCATAATTCCGGGATTCTCGAAAGGTCAAAGGGCAGTCAACTATTCAACTTACACATTTAACTGGTTAAAAGTTTAGGTAGTCTTTGTGGTGCAGCTGACTTCCCATAAATTGCTTTCTTGTGGTAATTTATTCATGAGTTCATGCTGCCATAATTTACCAGGGTCTGATTAAATCTACACCAAAATAGCCAGCCTTTGCACAGAGTACATGTACATGTTTGTGGGATGTAAAGGCTGCTTACAGGAGAGCAAAATTTATTAGCATTCTGGCGTGAAGCGGCCATTCTGCTGCCCAAATACCCTTTCTGTCTCTTCTGGATATTCTCATCCTTGAATTTATGGGTTTTCCAGAAGTAACAGCTAGGCAGGAAGAGGATGCAGCAGCAAATGAGCGAATTTGGCCTTCTGCTATCTACAGGCATGTTCCTTCACACCCTCTGAGACCTCCTGATAGCTGGTCCTTACAGAGTGAGAATTTCATCTTTTGGGCAGGAAATAGAAGGAGACAATACTAAGCACTTCCACGTGTGATTGCTCATACATGTAAAAGTGCTTTAAGCAGACTTTTGGATGACCTTTGACTTTAAAGTAGGTTAAGAGAATTTAACTCTATGGACAAAGGCTTATTCAGGCCAATTGGGTTCTGCTCCAGAGAGTGGTCTGGCCATTCTCAGTTTATGGTATAGGCATAGTCAGATGTCTGAACACCTTTGAAATACTGAGGTATGTGCAAGTTCCGACGGTTAAGCACTTAGTTCTGTATTTTGCTGGTGTGGGACTACCTTTCTACAACCATGTTATCTGCCTCTTTCACCAGTTTCAGGGACTGAATCGTCACATTTTGAGTCAAGCGAACTCCCAGTTTCCATGAAGCTACAGACCACAAGGCTTGCAGAGACACAGGAAAGAGAAAAAAAAAAAAAAATCATAAGAAGGTATTGAGAAAACAGAGGTGAAACGTGGAAAAGGAACTGAGAAGCAGAGTGTCCAAGGTTTGACAGATCTCATCAGAAAAGAGAAGCCATAGACAGACAGAGAGGAAGGCAGTCCCCTAATTTCCTTGCAGGGCCATTTCATCTTCTTCTTTCACCACAGGCAGGGAGTTGAGAGGTCTGGACTGGACATGACCAGAGAGAGTTAGAAGAGTTTCAGTAGAGCCTAGGGTACAGAATCAGGAAAGATCAGTGAGAGGAGCAGAAGCAAGTGACAGAAATACTCTTGGCCATCCAAATGGGGCAAGCCATTTATGGGTAATGTGAAACTCTAACAACTCTTTTTTTACTGACACCCCCCAACCCAGGAACTGGCCCTTAAAATTAAATTTTAAACATGACCTTCAAAAACAGAGGAGAAACTGTCTCTTTCATCTAAATGACCATGCCTGCTGCCACAAATGCTGCAGGTTTAGTGCAGAGAATGGAAGGTGTTTACCAAGTCATGGCATTATCTTAATGGTTGTGCCCAAGGAGCCACACTGATTTACACTAAGGGAGGACCTAAGCCCTTTGCATTCATGCATACAGAAAGCAACCCCAAAAGAAGAGATGGGTCTCATGTGTAGGTGTGGGCATGGGAAGTACCTCCAGGGATCTCTGTCAGCTCGTTGAGTGGCGGCACAGTGTCCAGTTTGTCTGCATATGTCTTGGCTGCTTGCCGTTGAGCATATCGTGCCTCAATCTCTTTCTTTGTCCGGGGAATCCGGCACTTAAAGATACAGCAGAGTGTGATAACTGGGAAAAGAGAGAGGGAAACAAGAGTATTCAGTTTAGTCAGCAAATCTCTGTCTAGTACAGGCTGGACCATTTACAGTGGGGAGTC